TATTTTTGGGCAGAATCTTGCCAGTAGATCATTGGTAGATGATGTGCTCAAGAAAGTGAATGGGCTAAAACCAATTGCGGACGAGCTGGGTGTGCCTTTGTCTCAGCTAGCAATTGCTTGGTGTGCATCAAATCCAAATGTCTCATCTGTCATTACAGGTGCCACCAAAGAAAACCAGGTTAGCTATATGCCATTGCTTTTCTTGTCTATCTCTGTCATTAATTTTTTTTTTTATGTATGTTGCTTATGAGTTATGACCATTATCCTTATATACTTGAATCTCTATTGCAATTTTGATTGGGAATGTTGGGGATTCATTTGTGTTTTTCAGTCCTTGATTCTCAAGTGTTCGAAAGATGCATTTTTTCAACTTTTTTATTTACTAGTAAAAGTGCTGGTGACATAATTTTGTTTTTCCACATGAATTCTTTACTAAGTATAATTAATTTATTAAACATGAAAAATTTGAACATGTAGCATAAGAAACGATTAAAACAATTATCTAAGTTTAAAACTTGTTTATACACAATATTTATGAAGAAATACTCTATTTCTTCTTGAGCATGTGTGGTCGAGTTTCAATAAGACTTTGGTCGTGGAAGTATAGTTGTCTTGTATAACAAATATGTAATTGGCTATGAGAATGCAAATAGCTTTCTCCTTTTTNTTAGTGAAAATGTTATATAAGGTATAGAAACATGTTTTTTGCTATCCAAATAAATTTCTTAATCAATCATATTACCTTTAGAAATTTTACACTGAGTCCATTACATGAGTTTAAACTCTTCAAAATGATTATTGGACTACAACTTTTAATTTCTGTGTTAGTTGATTTCTCAACATTTTTAACTTTAGATAATGAAGTTACAAAGGGCTAGATTTCATTGACCACATGGTTCTCAACAAAGTAATTTTCTTCATCTTATTTCAAATGATGGTTTGACCGAACTTGCTGAAATTATTCGGTGGATTGTCGGACAACTGGTAAAACTTTTCAAAAATTTGCGCGAAAGACAATAACATTTTCACCAAAATTATATTCATCATTTTTCATTATATTTTCTAATTAAAAAATTTTAAATTTTAGATTGTCCTTCGTTTTGCCTTTTGTTTCTCATCCATTATTACGGAAAGACTAAAAATATTTATTTGTTTGACATACAACACTCAATTCATTTATACCAATTGGTAATTTTAAACGTAACGCATGGGGAAACAATATTACGATTATATTATAAATTAAATATATAAATAACATAATCACGATTTACCCATTATTTCAAATCCGGATCAGATGTGATAGTTTGATCGGATGGGTCGGGAATTGGTTTATCGACCAGTACGGTTTGCTTAAATAAAGTATTTGCTAGCAAACCGGTCAACACCAATTGATTATCGGTACAATTTTTTTAAGTAGTTTTGTTACATTTAAAATTATTTTTAATATAAATAAAAATACATATTGCAATAAATTGGAGATTCTAAATGTCATCTGTCGTTTACTAACAATTGATTAACAGTTGATCCACTGCGCAAATCGTAATCCATAGTACCTATATAAGTAAAGTTCAAATAATAGATTATTTTGAATCAAATTATAAAATTAAGGAAATTTTAGAAAAACATCGGATCAAATTTACTAAACACATAATTGTACTAAAAAATTGGCCAATAATAAAAGTAATGCAATTCAATTCTTATTGCAAAAAACAACAAATTTTGGCCCATTTACATTAATGAACCGATCCATTTGTTTTTACTAAAACGGGCCCATTAATATCAACCCGTATAAATAAAAATTTGGGACAAAGAAACCAAAAATACCGGAAAATCAGCTCAAGTGCCTCAATTATGTAAGCTCAATTTTGTTTCAATACACCCTGTCGAATGGTCAGCCATTAAGAACATCAGAGTAATCTAAATAAATAAATAACATAATCATTTATAAATGGCACCAGATTTGAAGCGAATTTTCCATTGGAAATATGTACCATAAATAAGTAATTCAAATTTGTACCATACGGATTTAAACATGTGAAGATCAAAAGTCATTCAAAATTTGAATTTAAATCGAGTTTCCAAAATAAGTAAGTCAAAGGCTTTGACTCATTTTTTTTAATGAACTTCCTACAAATGATTTTTCCATCAACCTTATATAGATATAGATTGTGTTGTCCTTTCATTTGGTATAACTGTAGCAACAATTGTAAATGATGCAATTGCAAGTATTATATTTAAATTTCTTTAATGTGAAACAATAAATGTACAATATATGAACTATTTGCTAATTTCACTTGGCTGGTAAAGTTGATAAGCATATTTAGAAGATCGTACGCCATATTTTTTCTTGACCGAAAAATAAATAAGGGTACAAACTAATATTTTCCCCATACAATTGTATGTATATTTAACTTCTTAATGTGTTGGTGGTATGTACTTTTTTTTAGGCAGTTATTGCTCTCCTTACATTTCATAAAAGCATGTATTTTAGAGTACTTTAAATCCATTGGTGCGTATACACTATCAACATTATTGGAATGGTAAGAATGATATTAGAATGAAATGATTCTTCTTTTACTCATTCCTAATTCCATGATTGATATATTGTTTTTTGAAGGATTGACTATTCCACTGTAATTAGCAAAACTCATCTCCACGAGATTAGCCGATACATAGCTAATGCATGGTTTTCCCATTATAATATCTTTGGGATTTGATTTTTCAAAAAATAAACCTAACAAATACCAATATAAAATAAATATATATTATAAATCATAATTAAAATTATATTAGAAATGATTTATTTTAAAAAATAAATTTAAAAATAACAACAAAAGAAAATAATTTTATTTTGTGTTTATTATTCACATTTGACCCCGATATATTTAATACTTATATAAAAATAATATTTACAGAAATGCAGTTATAAATAGTTTATAAATATCTTATTATATATATATATTATATTTATTTTGTAAATTAAATTAAATTACAAAATTATACTACAACTACATACGCTATAGGGATTAACGTAATATATATATATATATATATATAAATAATCCACTTATTATATAAGATGAACATAAAAATATAAAAAAATATTTGTTAAAAATATATTATATTTTATTAAATAAAAATAATATTAATATTATCATCAATAAGAAAATAATATTAATATAAATATTGAAATTAGTTTTATATATGAAATAGTGAAACATGATAATATCACTCCATTCATGTCTTATTCCTTTGCATACCAAACAACTCAACTCAATGAAAAAACATGTTTTATTCATTTCCCATAATCATTTCATTATTCAAGTCATTTAATTCCTATCAAATTTATTTTCATCATACCAATCATGCTATAATATGATTGCAACTAATCTTCCCAATTAATTTGATATTGAAAGGTGATAGGTTCATTTACATATTTGATAACATTTTGATGATACTGCAATAATCCAAATTTTCAAGTTGCTTGTTTGAAATACAAACCAACACATTATCTATATAAAAAATCTCTATAAGATTTGACATTGTTTGAAAATGGTTTTTAATAACAGCTTTAATATTCACTGGGATTTATAGCATTGTTGTATCATAAATTCTCTTAATTCATTCATCTTAATATTCATTTTTTTTCCTCGTACATAATTCTTTGGAATTTTTTTTATAAAAATAATTTATTGCGTCTTTACGTAGGTACATAGAAAATTACTCTGTAAGCAGCATTGTGTTAGAGTTTTGGTTGCAACTCGAAATACTTTTGAGTTTTGATTCGCTCCATATGTCAAACTTTGCTATTTTAGATGGTGAAGTGGCAAATTGATAACTACTAGCAATATACCATTCAAGTTAAGTTCAATATTCCATGTTGGTTCTAGAAATTTTGTATATCATCAATCAAGATTTCACCAACAACAACAACAACAACAACATAGCCTTTAGTCCCAAGCAAGTCGGGATAGGCTAGAGATGAAACCCAAGAGAAACACAAAAGACTCGAACCGAAAGGAAGAGATCGAAAAAAAGATTAAGATACATAAAATGACAAATAAAAACTTATTAACCATAATAATTTAATCCAAAGGGAATATATCATATTTGAAACTATTGAGAACACGATTTAAGCAGAGACAACATAACAACTTACATTATTTTGTTTGATACTAAAATTTACAATTTTTCTAATCTGACTTGTCATTTAAAGAATATATGCCACCAGGCTAAAACTTATTTTTCATTCCAGAATCCAGGGCAAAATATTCTGTACTTTATAATAGAGACAATGAAAATTGATTAGAGGTAAAGGTTCTTGTAGATTTCAGTTATCTGCAGGTCAATATATGATACTAAACTCAAAATAAAATTTAATAATGCATGTTATTAAGCTGATTTAACAGCCTACATATCTTTTTAGTTATTAAATATCATTCATTTATTTTCTGTACAATATGGAACCGTATATACAAGATATTTCAAGTATCAGACAGTGTGCTCGCGGAGTTAAATATAATCATTCATTTCAAAACTAATAACAAATGATAAATAAAATAAACATTCTTTAGGCGACTTGGATCTGTCGGCTCACATGGATTTATATACTTAGGAAGGTGTTTTCATATGTGAACTTGAACTGTATTTTAAATTGTTTTGAGAGTGATCTACTAAATAAATGTGGTATTGGCTAGTTGGATCTTTCAAAAACTTTGGTTTATGAACGTAGTAACCTGATCATTTGAGATGGAGCTGTCCAAGACTGAGATGAGATATGCAAAACAAGGGTCGAGAGATGTTGCCAGTGTTAGCACTTCGATGATCAAATTAGTATGGGGTTTGGAAGGAATTGTAATTGACAATATATATATATATATAGGATTTGATTCAAATGAGAACTAAGTCCTAGCGTGAGAACCGTGAGAACCGCTATTTTATTTGTATGTAGTGCTATGATGATTGTATTTTAGTGCTCTTTTTAATCAAGATGTATTTTATTAAAAATAGCAACATAATTTATGTTAGCATTTGTTAAAATGATAGCACCATGTGAGATTAAAAATATCATCATACACAATTAAAAATAGCACCAAATATGGTTATCACGGTTCTCACACCAGGACTAGTTTTTTATTTGAACCAACCCTTATATATATATATATATATATATATATATATAGGTCTTCGAGAATAGACGCTCTCAAACTTATATGCAATTACATTTTGATAAGAGATATGAATTGCAAAGGACTTACCCTTGATTGTCTACTTTAGAGTTGCATACTTGAATGGCAATTCATTTTATTATATTTTCTTAAAATTTAAAATCCAACAGTTTCTTGCTAAATTCTTGCTAAACACGTGTACATAGTGGTATTTCATTTATGCATGGCTCGTGCATCATGTGTTTTAAAACTACATCCAAAAGTCTTGTATAATTTTAATGATTAGGAAGATTGACATGAACATATCTATCAAGTTGATCGAAGTTCAAATTTACAATTAGACTTCTACATTATCAACTTTTTGGAAATTCAATTATGCAAACATGAATAGTAATAACTCAAAAAATATTTTCTTCTCAAACCAAATGATTCTTTAAAGTGTATAATTTTATTCAATGTACTCATGAGTCATGAGGTCGAATATGATATTTTTTGCATGTAGCTGAATATCTTTTGTATAGGTATATATGTTGAGATTACACACATTTTTTCATTAAAAATTAAAAAATAAAATTTATAGAATTTTAATGATTTTTCGTTTAGTCAATTATTTTATTTGAAAAGCAGTAAGCCATTTGCCAAATTCATGAAAAAATCGTTGCAAGATTCTGATGGTGGTTGATACATCACATAAATCCAAGAATCTATATTTACATCTATATATATAATAAGAATTTTGGGAGTAAAAAATAGTAGTAAAAAGTTTTTGGAGCATTTAATGCTTAAATCTTTTTTTGAAAATTTTTAAATTTATGCATTAATTGCTTCCACATACACGTTTTCAAATAAGACCAAATCAATTATGGTCAAAATTATTGTGATAAAAGTATTTTTTTTTTCACAAATAATCATTTTATTTATCTAAAAATATTTATTGAAAATCTTAACAGGATAAGTAGAATTTTTTCTTTGCGAAATCAAGTTGGAGAGTTAATCTTTGTCAATATAATTTTTTCTTAAGCTTTATTTGGTTATATATAAAAAGAATTAATTATTCTTCAAATTAATATAATTTACCATTTAAGAGATAATGACCAGATACATTAAATAATTTTACGTATGGTCAAAAATTAAAATTGAAATATATTAACTGTTCTTTAGAATTTATATGTATATTATTGGCAACCATGATTATTTTTTTATAATTTTTTTATGTAATTTTGATTTCTTTGTGGAATGAAATTCTGGTAAATATATTTTTATTGCAGAGTATGCTAGATAAACTATAAATCCTTATAATGCAAATTAGAAAAAAACTTGATTATAGAATGGATTAAGTTTTTGACATTTTGCTATCAAAGTTGTTTAATTAGTATACAAATTAAATTCTAAAAAAACATGTGTGTATATTTTGTAGAATATTTATTCACTATTTAATTTTAAATTTATTTACATATTTTAAATTGATTACATAAATAAATAACACTATCGTGCATTAAATATTTTTTATTACATAAAATAAAAAGAAAAAGAAGACGTACAACTTCTATACTTTTTATAAATAATAATGACATTATATGACAACAAAATTTATAATAAAATAATAATTAAGTATTATATGGTGTACAAGAATAAGTAAAACAAAACAATTATTTTTCTAAAAAACGTTGATTAAAAGATGTGGAAAATAGAAACCAACGTTGATTAAAAGATGTGGAAAATAGATTTTAACCTTATTGTTTTTTAGACTTAACGTTGATTAAAAGATGTGGAAAATATATGATAACCGAATTGCTTTTGAGACTTAAACAACCCGTTAAAATAATTCATTTAATATCTCTGTCCCGTGCATCGCAAGAAGTACGCACTAGTAGTATATCCAAGAGAAGCAATAATAAGTAGACATTTGTATTCAGTGGCATTGACTTCAACAGAATATATTACAAAGAAAAATATGTTTGTATTTGTATTTTAGATTTTAGTAATTATATATGGATCGGTAGTGACATTGATATAAGATTTTATGGACTAATGAAGGGCCTTTAGGTGAATTCATTTATTTCCTGAATTCATATTATCTAATTGAACCTTAATTTATTTTCACCAGCGTATTTAATTCTTTTATTTGAAGTGAAAAAGATGGAATTTACTCTCTCTCTCTCTCTCTCTGGGTGCCGGCATAGAACAACTGCCGATGATTCAGAAAAGAAATTGACCAACCAGCATAAAATATTGTTTATGATATTTTGTTATGATAATGTCGTTTTATTATTGACACACTGAAGTGATGTATACTTTCATTTTGCCGTTCGTAATATCGTTTTATTGATGAAAATGCAGATTCAGGAGAACATGAAGGCTATAAATGTTATTCCATTGCTTACCCCTGCTGTGATGGAGAAAATCGAGGCTGTTGTTCAAAACAAACCTAAGCGCCCAGATTCCTACCGATAGAAAGAGATTATGCGATTCTAGTTATCTTTTGCCGTGTATTTCATTGTTTGGTGGCACCTTACATGTTTCTTTTGTCCCAAGAGAAATATTCTGCCTTCAATTCCATAAGACTGTTGGTTGCAGGTTTGGAGTTTTATCTTGTGAGCTTNNNACTCTCTTTAATGCTTGTGGTGATGAACTGTGTTGTGTTGAAGGAAAAGTGACTATCTTGATATGTATTACATGGAATGTAACGACCCGTTTCGTTATTAATAAAAGTGATGTTTTAGCTTATGAGTTGAGCTATTTTCTTTTTATTAATAATGCTCGTTTTTAGTTTTCGAGCCCAGTTATTGAGTTATTCAGTTCTAATTTTGACTTTAAGTCGAGAATATACTCTGTTTAATTTTATTATGTAATCGAGTCAGTTTTAGTAATTAATTCCGATCCGTTTATTTTATAAATAGACACTAATAATTCTTTATTAGTCGGGATTAATTATTTTAAGTCGACGAATTAATTGAAGTCGAAAATATTGAAAAAATCGTCGAAGTCGAGCCACGACCTGAACCGAACAAGTTCGGCCCGAGCCACTCCCGAGTTTCACTTAAACCCTAGCCGCGTTATTGTAGTATATCCATAGATTTTTCTTCATCATTTTCAGCCCATTTTGTAATTAAATCCCTGAGTTTTTATGCTAATGACACATGGGGTGGTAACTAATGATCATTAGTGTCACCTAAGGGACAAGTGTCTTCATTATAAATGAAGAGAAAAGCCACCTTACCACTCACTTTGCCTATAAATAGATTAGCAGCTGATAGGAGGTGGTTTTTACATGAATTTCTTCTGCATATTTCATCAAATACATCCCTCACTTAGCATACAAGATCAAAAAGACCGAGAGCATTTCTTCCATTAGCCGAGTGTGAGAGTTCGAGTGTACCGAGCCTTTTTCCGAGTTCACCACCTATTGTGAGCTAGCAACCACCTATCCCACACCTCACCACCTTGCTTTAGAAGTCTAAGGTCGAGCTTAAGGGATTTAAAGGCGAGCTACACCCTGTGTTTCATGCAAAAGCCGCGAGCATAGGATTCAACCGTACCCGAGCCACTTCCTTCTTGCGTTTTCTCGCTCTTTGAAGAAGGTAAGAGACTATTCTTGGTACATGCTAATAGCTTATTTAAAGTGTTAGTATGTATGTTAAAGTGTGACTAAGTTTCAGTTTATATGAGGATATATCCATGATAGAAGTTAAAGTTATTCTCGGCTCGCATGCATGATGTTTATGAGTTGATTCTATGTGAATTTAAGCATGCTATGTACAACCTGGTAAAGTGAGCTTATTATGGCCATTGCTTGTGTAAGTGATGAGTATATAGTGTAAGTGATGAGTATATAGGAGAAAGAATCATGTCATTTGGTCAAGTATAGCTCGAGTTATAAGTTTTTAAGTTATACATGCAAATCACGTTTTAATGCTAAGTTTGAGCTGTGTTCTGTGAACTCGATTATCTCAACCTACATGCATAATATTAATGTGAAATTTTTATGACATTAATATTAGGAAATTTTTAAAGTAAGCTTGAATGTTTACCTATATGTTGAGAATATACATGTCCAATTTCAGCTTTATATGTTAAGATTTGAGTGAAGTAAAATTGCTAGACTCCATGCATGTCAACTTGAATTTAGTTGCAAGAGAACTCAGTCCACATTCAAGATTTTAATGTGAAAATTTTATGACTATGTATTGCATGAGTGGTGATCAAGATGGCCAAGTTTTAGCTTCATATGTTAATTGTGGAAGTTTATAAAATTCCTTGAAGTTATGCGTGTTTATTGCATAATTATGTGTTAAGTATAACACTTGAATTGACCAAGCTAGTGGTATGCTATTGAGTTGAAATTTTAACAGCAAACACTTGAGTATGTTTACTAATTAACTGCCAAGTTTTAGAATTTTTAGAGCTTTGTGTGATTTTTGAAAAATCGTAGAGTTTCGAAGCTTGTTTAATTCGACTTAAATTGATTTAAGTGATGAATTTGAAATTGGTGGTATTCCACGAGTAGAAATACGTTTGTATGAGTTAAATGGTCGGAAAGGTTCGACCGACGGTTCGAGTAATTCGTGATTTATATGTTTCGGTCTGAGTTTATTGAACCGTTAGAGCGTTACTTTTAATCCGGATAAGTTAGCAGTTTAGAACCGTACATCCTAGCATATAATTGAGTATTCTGAGCATAGTACTTAGTACTTGTTTGCTTATATTTTTATGTAGTTTGAGGAGTCAGCTATTCAGAACAGCACTTACATTTTCAGTACCAGCAGTACAAGTGGGGACCTAGACTGGGTATTATATTGAGTATGATAACAGATATCATGTCTGAGGTATGTCTGTATATTATCCGCTTAGGGTGGAGACCAAGTTACCTTCATATGCCATCCTAGGTTCTAGTGGAGGCCACATTGCCTTATATCCCATGAGAGTGTGCACATGGTTACCGCCATATTGCCGGGAGACAGTATGATTCCAGTTTTAGTTTCAGTTTCAGTTCAGTTTTATATATACTGACGATCATGATATTGTTATTATTATTGTTGTTTACTTTAGTATGAGTTTCTACGGAGCACAGTTGACTTTCGTGCTCACGCCCCACTACTTTATCTTTTTCAGATGTCGTGGTCGGGCCAGAGGTGTGAGCTCAGCTGTGGTGGTTGTGGTCGTGGACTCGGCCAGTTTGCCATATTTTGTGGGATTTTATATATATCAGTCTGTATATATTTATGCCATGTGTTTAGATTTCACTGATGTTTTCAGTTTTCGAACTTGCATGCCAGTATGTCTAGATGAACAAATTTTACTCGGTTCATTAGTATGATCTGGGTTCAGTTTTACATGCTCGTTTCATTAAAGATTTATAATATGTTTTTCTTATGTCTAACCAGTAGTTAGACCAAGTTCAAAGAAAAACGGATTTTTAGAAAAGATAAAGTTTTTCAGTATTTATAAGTGTTTTCGAAATAGTAGTTTATGAAAAATTTACTCTGATACTAGTAAAAAAGCGGGGTGTTACATTGAAAGTAATGACCATGTTTGATAAATGACGTTTTGACAAAAAGTTAGCGGATTAGGCTTTTGGCTGTTTTACTTTTATCAATCAGCTAAAAAATGTGTTTTGTTAATAGCATTTTAAGTTGGCTTTTTTTATCCAATAGTACGTAACTCGTGCGATGCTTGGGGCAATAGTTATAATGACATGTATTCAAGCAATAAAAGAATATTGATTAGTAGAAAATTATTTTTGAATACTATTAATTTTTTATTTTATTATATATATAATAATTTAATAATATTTATATCTTTACTTCACTCGTTATAAAATAATTGTTATTTTAGATCTTGATTATAATTAAAGATAATGAAAATTCATATTCAAATATTATCAATAAATAATACTCATAAAATATTTTTTTTCTCCCTCTATCTTCTCTTATTCATATTTTGTTACTATATATTATTTCGATATTTATATAAGTTAGGTTAAATTTAAAAAATTATGGCAAATATTGTAACCAATACTTAATTAGAAAATATTGTAATATATGCTATTTTGAAAATAAATAAAATTATGAATTTTGAATTACATAAATTTTGTTTTTTTTTTTCTTGTAATTAAAAATATTAATAATATTTTAGTTTTTCTTTCTAATTTATTAATTTATATGAGTTTAGCTATGATATTGTGAATCGCAATATTAATTTTAAAAAAAAGATAGTTTTGTACAATTATTGATAAAATCAAGAATATTTTTGAACTCTTTGAATATATACTTTTTGGTATATGGCTCTGTTAATATCCGAGTCGATCTATGGGGGGTTCACGGATCTAGAATGGTAATCCGTATGGTGGAGACTTATAAAACCGGGTCGGCACCCAAATTATACAGATGTCGAGCTCGAAGAAAAATAAAGTTAGTCAGAATAATATGTCGAACGGTTTCTAATCACGGCGCTCTGGGATTTTGAGTGACGGCGTCGACCTCATCCAAGCGCCAGATCGGTGCAATAAAGATTCTGAGGACCAGATCGGTGCAATAAAGTCATTGCAAGAGTCCGACCTGGATATTCATCAAGACCGGCCCCGGCATGCACAGAGGACCTGGAAATCATATAATATTGCCACTTGTCAAGTAATGATTGCTGATGAGACACGCCACTGTAGCCTGCCACTCTAAAGCATTTAGACCGCTAGGGCGGCCTGTCAGCATTAAACGTCCCACATGTATTCATTTAATGCCTGACAAGTAATCATTGAAGAAACCTCATACCTCATTTAATACTTGTCAGAACGGCGTCGGTCTGTCATTTCGAACTACTGTGTGAAGTGACAGGATGAACAATATATGAACAATAGCAAATTAGGATTACTATAAATAGTTGATCACTCTCATTTATTAAAGGTTGTTAATTCCTCCACCAACTCACTCTCTCTCTACATTTACTCTGTAACAAAGCTTGTAATTATTCTCAAGTGGGTCGAAAGAGCCGACCTCAATTAAAAGGCCGAACTCATGATTAAATAATAAAAGCCCGTTTATCTCGTAAACTCCTATTTCTTTATTCATTTTATGACTCTTAAATATTTCATTAACCGGTTGACCTATTCCAATCGTCAACAGGCTCGTTACGAAATGAAAAAAAAAATCATAGGGATTTGTTATTATTGTTGAGATATCAATTCTATTATAATATTGCAGTAGTTATATCAATAAGATTTTTGCAATTGATTTCCAAATTTATTTTGTACTTATATTTTGCAATGTTCTCACTTCTATTTTGGTCTACCTATAGTTGAGTACAATTTAAAAAAAAAACAAACAAACAAACAAACAGGAGAACACATGATTTATTATTAAGTATAAAGATTGATTAATTATTAATGATAAATAGTTAAATTTCATTTGATATTTTAGAAAATTGGGTTTATAATTTTTTAAAAAATGGAACAATTGAGTTATTGATATATCAAGCGATTCTAAACTAATTCTCTTGATTAAATGATTTTTTGAAGATACGATAAAAAATATTTTGGTATAAGGTTTGTTACCAAATAAATAAACAATCACCGCGATTTGTTATTAATGTTGATAAATAAGATTCAATTTAACACTGTGATAAATATCGTAATAAAATTTGTAGAATTGATTT